CATAAAGGAGGTCGTGGATTCCATCCCGACCCTGACGGTCTGTATATTTTGAGTTTGCGTGTCTTTCTCTCCGTGGTCGCATGGATTTTTCTCCGGGTCTTCCTGTTTTTCCCCTCTTCATTATTTAGAATTAACGCGCGCTTAGAGTATTTGGATGCTATAAATTTCCACGTGAAAATCCACTTCGTTGATCATTTGCGATGGCCAGGTTGCATCTCAAAAGGAGCGACACAGCCTTCCCTGGTAAAATAAAAATAGTCAAATAGTTGAGTGTGAAATTCTCCCTGCAAATGGGGAGATGTCCCTGCGTGTAGCGGCGGCTTCAACAATGTGAAGTGGGTACAAGCGATTGTCCATTGTTTGCCATGCCGACCGTACACATGTAGGCTAATGTACATGCAATAATAACATTTAATAACGCAAGCCCTTTGTCCATCCACTGCTGGATGAAGGCCTCCCCGAGGCGTACGAGCCACGGGGGTTATTTGACCACACTTGACCCAGCTGGTCGGTGCTGGTTGGTGAAGAACAGGGGGGGTTCAGGGTGTCAGATATCAGGATGTTCAGACATCACATGTCACTGATGTCCACCGTGGCCAGGACTCAAGCTCAGATTGTTGGGCTCGCGGTGCAATACGCAAACCACTGTGCCACCACTCGGCCAGTGTGCATGTACAAGTCATTAAATACACACGTCACACATAGACACGGCAATGGGTCCCCCATATGGAACAGCAAGTGGGTCGCATTCACATCGGGCTGGCATCGCAAGTCTAACTCGCACAAACTTAATCATTTGGTCTTCATTAATCAAACCGACACTGACTGTAACAATCTCACACTGGTAAAGGAGGTCTCATAGTGTAAATGCTTACCCCGAGCTCTCAATACTCTGATCGTGCGCTGTTTTTGAGTTGTACGCCTTTTAGCGTCATCTGGTCCAACACCAATGGAGACTAGGGTCTAAGAAAAGCTGTCTCGGGTGTGGACCAATCAACTTCAAGGACAGTGCATATCATTGCCATTATCAGAGTTGTTTCTTTTTGTTTGCATTTTGACTGCTTGTGTTGTGGTTATTGCAAACATGATGCCTTGTATAAAGGTGTCAGTTTTTGTACCAGTTGAAAGGGTAAACACCTATCACAATCTCATTACAAGTTTCCTTATAGTAACATCGTGAAGCTCCACATTACAATAATATCTTCTTGGTTCTTTCGGTAAAGTCACGTAGAAGGGAAATAATAAAATAATAAAAATAAAACATAATAAAATAATTCTCACGACGTTTATTATTTTTATTATTATTATTATTTCCCTTCAACGTGACTTTACCGAAAGAACCAAGAAGATGAATCCCTGCAGTCACGAAAGCTTTAAATCGAAAATTACAATAATAATAATTCCATAATTCACACGTTAGTCTGGCCACAAATGGAGGTCAGCGGTGGGACGCTGTCACGCGGTGGCCTCGGCTGCCTACCTCTCCCCTCTGCGTTCCCGCGGCCCCAGTGAGACTCCCTCACCGGGCATCGCGCGAACTGCAGAACGCGCGCGTAGCGGAGCGTGCCCAGCTGCCATCCTCCGCTGTCGGCGACGCTCTAAATGCGATCGCGAGCGAGCGAGCGAGAGCGCGCCCGCGAGCGGGGTCGCGTGAGGACACGAGCACAACGTACGGCAAGCCTGGCAGGCAGGGAAGCGGTGAACCCAGCAGAGGTGGAGAGAGAGGGGAGGGAGAGGGAGGGGGAGGGAGAGCGAGGATGCAACCGAGAGAGTGGGAGAGAGATGGGGAATCGTGATGGCTGTTAAACCCGGAGAATCGCAATTAAAATCTATTAGCGGGAAGGACAAGGCAGGCAGCCATGATGCTTCTGAGACTTACGGACACAAACGTTTACCTGTTCGCCATTTCCCTTCCTTGACCGCGATGAGCACAGCCCTTCGAGTGTACAGGGCGATTGCCAAAACGCCCTGGCAACTCAAAAGCGCCTTGCAATCACCATCCCATTTGAACCATTCCAATGCCCTGCTGCGGTCGATACAAAGGGGACCCCCCCGAATGGCAGCTGTCCTTGTCTGGCACAGGATGTCCACAAGCACCGGCCTGGAGGTGGGCGTTTGTCCTCCCAGTAGGGTGCAACTAATATCATACGGAGCTCGATGGTCAGTGTTAAGATTCATCCGATTGGATAGCGCAATATGAAAACCTTGTGAAAATATACACTCAATGCGTTCTGTAGGGTTTTTAAAAAAAATGGAAATGCCCTAACAATTTTAAATGGGAGATTCTCTTTCCAGCCCTTGGGCAAATCCACCCTGCTGGTCACAGTTGCGGAGCTGCACCTTTATCCACCGCCTTTCACGAGAAAGCTTAGCTCTTAGGAATACAGTCCACAAAACAACTAGAAATTGTTAAAAGGTTCCTCTTCAAAAAATATTTATATAGAAATTCTAGAGTGACGCATTTGAGTGGACGTCGTACACACAATGGAATTTTTTACAATGTATTTTGCAAAAACCGGGCACTTCCACACCGAGGAATCAAACCACAAGACTGCTGAAATCCACAAAAACCTCGAATCTTAAAATGACGATCCGGGTCTGCATTTCACTTTGCCGCAGCGCATTAACATTTTTTTTTTATAATAACCTACTTACGTCTCGCCGAATGCCACGATAAATGATGCCGCGAGGGTGGAGCAAGGCATCGGGGGCCGACGGGATGCCAACGGGATGACATCATTAGGGATGCACAACGGAGCTCGCCTAATGGAACTGCCATCTGTCGAACATAGCCCGTGCAGTCCGGACTTCCTGGACGGCGCGCAGAGCGCGTGGCTAAGCCGATGGGTCGCGGCTCTGAGTGCGTCGCCAACGCACACGGGCACGTCGGCTCGCAAGACGGAGGTCGCGCAAATACCCCAGGTCACGCGGCTCTGCCGACCGATCGGTGTTCATCAAACGCTTTTTAACCCTTTCCCATTCCGATGACGTACGTGTACGGAACGGGATCAGAAATGAATCGGGACGTATTCAGGTCGGAAGGAATACCGAGGCTCCCACACTGCCATGCGGGAGGGAGGGCGTGTGTGGCACAGTTTGGTGCCAGCTATCATAGAGCGTGGTCGTGTCGCTACAGTACAACGTCTTTAAAAACAATGGTGCTATGTAGGTAAAATTTTTAATAAACTAAATTAAATCACGACGTTTCGGAGGCAACACAAGCCTCCATCTTCAGGTGGAACACGCCACAGCAAAATTACTGTAGTGGTTAATGACCACGCCGTTTGTGAACCCCTTTTATCCACTACAGTGATTTTGCTGTGGCGTGTTCCACCTGAAGACGGAGGCTTGTGTTGCCTCCGAAACGTCGTGATTTAATTAATTTTATTAAATGTTTTACCTACGTGACTTTACCGAAAAAAACAAAGAGTATGAATCCTTGGAGTCACGAAAACTTCAAATATAGAATGGTGCCAGCTATCATAGAGCGTGGTCGTGTCGCTACAGTTTTCTGCGGTGAGTACAACGTCTTTAAAAACAATGGTGCTATGCCTCTCAAAATTAAATTAACGCTGAGCTGCTTGTGCGTTCCGAGAATCAGCGGTGAAAGGGACAACCGCTGTGCAACTTGCAGACGTCTCGGAACGGGGAAGGGGTTCACAAACTCCGTGGTCATTTCGATTTAAAGCTTTCGTGACTGCAGGGATTAATCTTCTTGGTTCTTTCGGTAAAGTCACGTAGAAGGATAAAAATAAAATAATAAAAATAAAACATAATAAAATAATTCTCACGACGTTTCGGCCACAACGCAAGCAGCCGTCTTCAGGTGGAGAACAGGTATGTCGAGAAGGCAGAGTCTGTCGAGAAGGCAGAGTCTGAATATTCAGACTCTGCCTTCTCGACAGACCTGTTCTCCACCTGAAGATGGCTGCTTGCGTTGTGGCCGAAACGTCGTGAGAATTATTTTATTATGTTTTATTTTTATTATTTTATTATTTTCCTTCTACGTGACTTTACCGAAAGAACCAAGAAGATCCGTGGTCATTAACGAGACGCGGCTTTGTCGCAGGGGATGGGAACCCACCCCGCCCCCCCCCGTGAGTCGTACTCGGCCCCGCAAATTAACTTCACGTGGCTGGAGACTTTCATTTCATCAAGGTCGTGAATAATTTCACATGGCCCCGTGACTTCGTATCATATGGCCCACAATTAAATTTCATGCAGCCCATTACTTTTTTTCATCTCACACAGCCCATAGCCACGTGAAGCCTACCACTCGGAAACGACTCACGAATCAGCGCACCCCCTTTACTGGGTCCCAACCACGCGCGCGTGAGCTGCGTTGCGATCGCATGCACGAACCAGTGCCTGCGACTCGCCGTGCATTTGTGCGGTGGTGCCAAAGCCTTTTCCTGCCGCGGTTAAGGTTCGTAACGACGCCACCGGTCCATCGATTCAAATCAATTCGGAGACAGTCTCGTGACAATCGAGATCAGGTTGGGGACTGAAACGAGGAAACACAAACGGGATACAAGCACCCTCGAGAGAAACCTCTCTAGAACACCCTCCAAGCGGAGGCTTTTCCAACAACGGTGGCGAGGGAAAGCAATTGCAGTGGCCGCACCTTTATCTTTACCCAGGAGCCCTGCAATGGCTCACTCGCGCCGCACGTACGTTGAACTTCTTTCGCACTGTATGTAGCCAACCATACTAAAGTCGGAGGAGCGGGGGAAGGACAACAAACTAAACGCACAAAAAGTGTCGTTACTGGCAAAAGGAACTCGGCTATAGGCGGCGAGTGAGCGAGCGATCAATTGCAGGGGCTGCCCCTTTATCCAGCAGCCTGGGCGAAAGCTCGGCCGTCTCCGTCGCGTGCCCGCCCGCGCGACTGCGTGCGCCCTCACCTGCTCACCTGCATGCTCACCCGCTTGCTCACCTGCTCACCCGCTTGCTCACCTGCTCACCCGCTTGCTCACCCGCTCACCCGCACGTCCGCTCACCTGCTTGCCGTCCAGCGTGTAGAGGCGCTTGACGGCGCCCGTGTCCAGCTTGACGGCGTCGGTGATGTCGGCGAGCACCTGCTCGAACGAGTGCGCCGTCTTCTTGTTGAGCAGCACGCGCACCGCCTTGCGGGGCCGCACGCCGGCGCGGATCACCGTCACCAGCTTGGGTCGGATGAACTCCTTAGCCTCGCGCGTCTCCGGCGTGTGCGCCCCGCTCGCCAGCGAGGAGGGCGCCCGCCCGATTGGCGCCAGCAGGGCCGCCGTGGCCACGCCGGCGCCCAGCCCGGCGGAGGAGGCGGCGCCGACGCCGCCGACGCCGCCTCCTCCCCCCGTGCCGCCGATGCCGCCGATGCCTCCAATGCCGCCCGAGAGGGACGAGAGGCCCGAGCCGATGGAGCTGCTCGAGCCGATGCCCACGACCGCCTTGACGTTGACCGACCAATTGGGATTGACGTTCTTGGTGTAGTCGAGCCGGCGGAACGCCTCGTTGGTGGCGCACACGTAGCTCTCGCCTGCGCCGGGGGAAACGCAGATGGGAGGGAGGGAGGGAAGGAGGGACACAAACAACAGCACAGTAGTGATGGTGGTGCTGATCCTATTGGGAGGCCCTAAAGAGGGAATACTTTTTGGGCCACTGGGCCACTGGGGTCACTGGGTCACTGCCACCTTCAATTTAGAAACTCCTCAGTGAGAACAGCGATGTCAACAAGAGTTCAAGATGAAGCGGAGATGCAGCGAGACGCGTAAAAATTTATACAGATAAGGTAGTAAAATGAGAGAAACGGTGGACAAGATGGAGTAAGATGAAAAAATAGAGATGAGAAAGATGAATAACGCTTTTTATTTAATGAGATTTTTGTGTTTATTCGGATTTCGAGCTGATATTTTGGTGCATCCCATGTTTTTCTTGATCTACTTGGAGCTCTAAGCTTTTGTGCGGTTTGCTTAGGCCTAGCATCGCCACTCTGCAATAGCGACAGCAGCAGCTTGGGCATTGATTGGGATGAGAGCGCGGTTGTCGCGTACATTTCGGAGCAGCTGGGGCAACAGGGAAGGCGCGAGAGGTGTTGTGATATTGGTGCAGAGGTCCTCGGAGAGACGACGCAATCGATGGCTTCTCAGAGAGGATCTGCACCAACAATATTTAAATTATTTCCCCGAATGCCACTAAATAATGCAATTTGTCTCGTCCACACTGTGGAAGCTGCACATTACCAGGAAACATTAAGAGGCTTGTGTTGTACCAATAATGGGCCACAGAATTATCAAATTAATCCGCACATTAGTTTTTTTTTATGATAATAATAAAAAAAGGATTTCCACAAAACACGTTGACATTGCGGTTGTGACGGCACAGGTCAAAGAGTTCAAACCACGAGGTTGCCAGGCGGTGCAGGCATCAGAGCACCGAGCTGGAACCACTGAGATCCTGGGTTTGAATTTGGGTTTCAGCCACCACGTGATTAAAGCCCGGCAATGGTGGCTATGCACATGGCCCGTGATCCAACACAGCGCAGGCAGTAGCGAGGGTTGATGGATCACCGCACACACAAATGTTGTGAATCTCCCTTCCCATGGGCGCCCAGAAGGTGTCCCGTACCCTGGCTCTGACAGGAGAAGGCAGTCCAGCAAGTGGACTAATCACCATCTGTGTCCATCTGTACGGGGATTGAGTATTGCCCCCTCTTCTTGGTTCTTTCGGTAAAGTCACGTAGAATGGAAATAATACAATAATAAAAATAAAACATGATAAAATAATTCTCACGACGTTTCGGCCACAACGCAAGCAGCCGGCCGTCCTCAGGTGGAGAACAGGTCTGTCGAGAAGACAGAGTCTGAAATGTCTGTCTCTTCGACAGACCTGTTCTCCACCTGAGGACGGCTGCTTGCGTTGTGGCCGAAACGTCGTAAGAATTATTTTATTATGTTATATTTTTATTATTTTATTATTTCCATTCTACGTGACTTTACCGAAAGAACCAAGAAGATGAATCCCTGCAGTCACGAAAGCTTTAAATCGAAATGTTGCCCCCTCGCTCGCATGGGTCTCCTCCCACTTGTATAATGAAACGCTCCCCACCAATTGGCTTAAGACATCTTAAAATAAAAACCCAATACAGGACCCTCTTGAAAAAGAGTCATACAACTCAGAGTGGCTATTCTGGATAAATAGAAACCTATAGACTTACATAGAGACCCACGACAAATTTGTGTCGACGCAGGGACCAAGAGAGGGCACCGTTGAAGATACGCATTGAAGTGCCTACTGGCGGCACACTACAAGAATAACAAATTAAGTCTCCCCACCAATAAATAAATACATGGTGAGTGGGGGGAGGGTGCCTGCAGACAATGTCAGCAGTTTACACAATGCATCGCGTTTATAATTCCAAAGCGCAATTGAGTGGGGGCTCCCGTCTGGGTTTATTGCCCCACTTAGGGGGCAGTTAAAAGGCGGGGGGGGGGGGGCAGTGCGTTTACCGTTTAACAACCACTGCTGCCTTAAAGCCACACCGACTGATGTCCACGTCGTACCGCCATCACCGCCGCCGCCATCAGCGCCAAGTAGGGGTCGAGACCAGATGCGGTATAACGGCGCGTGTCCATTATCCTCCCCCCCCCCACACTGAGTGTGGTATTTGTGTACAGAGCAACCAGAGCCGTTCATGGGGGTGGGGGGCCAGGGGTAAATCCCACAGTGTAGGCCTCCCCCGACTCCTTCAGACCAAACCGGAAGTATTGCATCTGATACCGGGGCGAAGCGTGTGGGGGCCCCCCAAAGCGCGGGGCCTGGGGCGGTCGCCCTCGATTCGCCGTACACCCTGGGGACGGACGTCGCTGGGTGAAGCTCTCGTCTTGTGCAGGTATTCACAAATCTGACATTTTCACACACAGTCATGTGTTCCTAATATCACGTACATTGGCTTAGTGTTTGAACGACATATAGGTAACCTATATGCGCACTTTGGTGTTACGGTAAATTTCCTATAGATCTTTGTGTATCCGACCTGTTCACACATCCGCCCTGCAGTTTAGTCCCCAGCGTGTCCTGTCTCGGGTTCCGGGCTCAACGCACGTGATATTGGTCCAAAATAACTGGTAATAAAATTCGGAAGAAATCATTGCACCAAGTATTGTCTAAATCGGCGGCTCTTAACTTGGGGTGTACGCACCCCCTGGGGGTACAAGATGCCCTTTCTGGGGGTAAGAGACAGTGAACAGATTTTTTTTAGAAGGTAAATAATAGAAAACACAAATTAAGCAAGGGCACAAGAGTACAACTACTTTGTTTCATCAAACCTATGTATTTATTAACATTCTAATGTTTTTTTTTTACGATTGAGAACCAAGGGGATGCAAGGCTGCAGTAAATGTTAACAACCGCTGGTCTAAACTATTCAACTAAAATATAATTTTGCCAGGTAAGGCCCACTGAGCTATACAATTCTTTTCCAGAAGTGACCTGGCCACAAATGATAGCTCAACGAAGTGGCTCATCGCGTGGACAATTTACAGCAACCAGATACTCTAAACGCGTGTTTCTAAATGTGGAGGGAAAAACCGGAGGACCAGATAAAAATCCATGCGACCACGGGGAGAACATGCAAGCTTCAAATATACAGGCATCAGGGTCGGGATCGAAACCACGACCTCCTACATGCCAGGCGTGGGAGTAAATGTCTCACCACAGCGGCACCCCTGTTCACATATTAAACGGTGCTTATGACGCCGCTTGTGAGGTTTGTGCATCAATCGTGACCGGCTTCTGTGCTGATTGACATTACGGACTTCTAAAACAAAACCGGGCATTTACCAACATTCTCTCTCGGGGGTCATCACTGCAGGCATGCAATTACCAGAGTCAAATTCACTCTGATTTTTCGTGATCATCATTTGACAATTGCCTACAGTGCACCGATTGGGTTGAGCATGGATAGCGCTTGGGATGGGTGACCGCCACGCATAAAAGCCAGGTTCCATCGGCTCCTGCTGGCCTACGTTGTGGGCAGCAGTGCGGAGCAATCTATTGGAGCACCTACGTCTATGCTCCACACCTTCATCAGCCCGCACTGACCGGCGTGGTGAAGTATGGCAGGCCGTCATCCAGCAGTGGATTGATAACGGGGGCGAGGGGCGGGGGGGGTGTTGGATGCGTGTAATGTAACGGATTCACACGACCCCTGCAGAGCCAATGGTGGCTGCGGCGTTCATCAGTGTTAACAAATAATGAAGCCTGAATGAGGAGGATTTATCGCGTTGCCACGTGACGTCCACGGCATATCTGGAGGTTGATAATGTTGTCTCCATTTGGCGGGTGTTGTGCATCGAATGTAAAATAATTAAAATCTAATCTTAATGCACGCCCACCTCCGCCCTGGAATCCATTTGCACCTCCAAATTAGCACGGTTGGCTACGTACGGTGCAAAAGAAGTGCAATATACATACACACAAAACTATACTGTATCTTAAGTCCCTCATCTCTGCCAAGTCCCTCCTTTGGTGTTGACATTTCCCCGAGCCCTCATTTCTCTTCCAGCGTGTTGCAATGCAGTAATCTATTTTGACGTTATCAATCCAATTGTATTGTGACATTAATTGCAATTACCCGCACGCATATTATGTACGCAGACACAGATGACAGATCGTTATAATTACAAGAAATCTGAATCTCCACCCATCAGATCCCTTGCCAGTCTGACCCCATGCTGTAAGTCTTGAGTGACGGCTTGGCTCGAGGCAGCTTAAAAATCATTGTCAGTGCTCCTCCAACCGTTAATTAGAGCCAGCAGCCTCCGCTCGTTAAATCGGCCCCTCCACTCTTCATCGCCACACGATCAGCGCTTCCGGCCAGGATGACTCTTGCAGCACATATGGGAGTCCTCGCGCTCAGAGGGATCTGTGAGCGTGCCCGTGTTGGGGCATTTGCTCACCGCACGGCGCTCAATCATGCCCCTAAACCCACTTCAAATCCTAATCCAGACCTGCATGAAACCGATCACAAATCCTCACGCAAACTGTGACCGAAACCACAACCCCATCCAAAATACTGATCCACACCCAAATCTTAACTCCAACCCGAGCCCAGATCTTAAACCCAGACTTGAAATATCTCCCAGATGCAATCAACCCTAACCTGGACAATAATCCACTTCATAACTTTAAACTGGGGAAAGACTCACTCTAAGCATAGCCCTTACCTAGAGCATAACCCAGCTCCAAAATGAATCATAACCTCTGTTCTCAACGTAACGCAGCACACTCGCAATATCGTTGTGCTCTGAACTAAATTAACTCTAATCCAAAACCTAATCCAGCCCAGATCAACACCCACATCGCTAAACCCACCGCAGACCCAAACCTTAACCCAAACCGTATCCCAGATCATATACCAGACCCGAACGGCCGAACCCTACACGTTCACCAACCACTAGGGGCGCACCCCCCGCACCCCCCACACACACTTTGATACAAGAAAGGATGTAGCAACATCGTGTGGCAGAGAAACGTGTTTTTTTTCCAATTCTCAGAGCAGTTAATTTTTTGGGAACATTTACTGACAAATCCCAATTCAATTCGAGGGTTTTTTTTGTTGTTGTCTGCACGGTCGTCGGTGACGAAGCTGTGACCATCAACTCACCACATTCGAGAAGTTGGTTTAAATCGAAAATTACCCGGACTTCTCTCAAGTGGGATTATACATCACAATCATCCCCACCTCCTCCTCCTCCCTTCCGGCAGACGAATTCCCCAGGTCATTCTAGATTTGAAGCTTTCGTGACTGCAAGGATTCATACTCTTAGGTGTTTTCGGTAAAAAGTCACGTAGGGAAAAATAAATAATAAAAGTATATAATAATTTTTTTTATACAAGTCTCCGTCATCAGGTGGGACCGTCACAGCTAAGGTCACTCTTCTTCTTCGTTCTTTCGGTAAAGTCGCGTAGAAGGGAATTTTATTATTTTATTACTTCCCTTCTACGTGATGACTTTACCGAAAGAACCAAGAAGATGAATCCCTGCAGTCACGAAAGCTTTAAATCGAAATTTAAGGTCACTCTTGCACACGAGGCAATCCTGGTCTCCAGAGTTCTCACCTGGTTCGACAAAACAGACTTCAAATCACAGGCAGCCGAATCTCGACCGCTCAGCGGTGCCGTGATGAAGCCTCGCCAAGATATCCCTCACGGCCACGCAATGCGTGGTGGGTGTTCGGAAAGCCCCCCCCCCCAACCCCCGTCTATCCAGCAGTGGAGTGTGCGCGTGCACACACAACAACAACAACGATGCGTGGCGTCTCCACGCTCGTGCCGATTCTCGATGCGTGCGAGTGTCTCGCTCCGGCGTGGCTTTATTTGTATCATTATCATCGATGCCCCGTCCCTTCGTTGCGAGCCCAGAAGGCGCCCGTCACTAGCGCCGCGCTCTGTCCTCGTAACTCTTGCGAGGAGATGAGAGATGGTGGAAGAGGAGGTGGAGGGATATGGGTGGTGGGGGGTGGAGTTCGCGCCACGAGATAAATATCACGCTTTACTGCTCGAGAAGCCAATTGCGCATCGACCCCCGAGGAGCCGGAGCTGGTGCCCCCCCACCCACCCACCCATCCCCCCGTGCGCGTCGTCTGTGTCCGTCTATTTAATTTGGATTTTCCGCTGCGCCTTGGAAACAAAGATAAAGATGCGCCGCCTTCACGCTCGGAGCTGGGGCGAGAGGGGCGGGTAGGGGGGTTGTGTGTTCATGAGTCACCGTGCCCGGCTGCCTTTGTCTCTCTCCCCCCCCCCCCCCCCATTTCCGATGTTTTGACGCAACGCACTATGGGTTTAAATAGCCACTTATTACCACTGAACGTTGGCCGTGTCCAGCAATCGAACCCAGGGCTCACTGGCATCGGAGCACATTGCGCAGAGCGCCACAACTTTAGACGATGCACAGCGCGCATTTTTATCTCGGTGATTAATATCAGCGCCGACAGTAAAACGGATCGATGGTCCTGGAATTATTTTGGCACCCAGCCACATCCATCTCGCCTTGTTTGGTTTTATGCTTCTTATTTTGTCTTCATTAGGATCATAGGGACAAAGGCTACAATGACTATATGATTACTATGGATCGGCATACCTTGTATCCCAGTTCCTTACGCCGATAACCCCGACTCCAAGTAAGACTAACAGCGGCCTGATTATTGAGTGAGATATTAAGCCCTGCTGACACTGACATTTGCAGCATCTCAATATTTTTGACTCATTAGGCAATTAACCATAGCGGACATTAGCCACCAGAGACGTTAGCCAGGGTTAGGCGAACGTCTAGAACCCGAGGCACAACGCAGGGAGACACGGCAAGGGCACACGGGTCATACACCACCACCACGACCACCACATCGACGGCCACCGCATCGCGGCGCTTTCAGATGTGCTTCCGAGGCCGTCTGGAATGCGCTTCCTTCCGAAAATTAGGAAGCCACTGGAGTTATCCACTTGTAAACCATCTAGATTGAAAACTCATTTCTGTAGAACTGCTTCTCGTGTTTAGTTTGTTCTGCTTCTCCCCACACCTCCGATTAACAAAGGTTGGCAATGTGCGCTGCGAAAGAAGTTCAACACACATACACATTTAAGTTAGAATATAAGAGGTGATAACAAAGAAATATCTGCACAGATGGGTCCATAACCCACACACACACAAGGAAACCGTCCATTATTACCCTCGGACACTCGACGCCCTTAAAATCGACCACTTCTCTGCTCGACACCGGGCAGAGGCATCACCGGGGCAAGCACCGGGGCAGCACCGGGGCATCACCGGGGCAAGCACCGGGGCAGCACCGGGGCAGCACGTACCCTCGAGCAGCTCGTCGAGGCTGGTGATCTTGTGCTGCCCGTCGATGGTGAAGACGGCGCGCACTCCCTGCGGCAGGTTCACGTTGTCGGACAACGTGCGGGTCAAGTCGGCGAGCAGCGCCTCGAACGAGCGGAACCTGTCCGGCGAGATGGCGTACACGATGCCCTTGTAGTACTTGTCCCCGTTGCGGTAGAAGCGCACCTTCTTGGCCTTCTTCTCCGAGCTGAGCGCCTGCAGGGTCCGGGTGCGGTACAGGCTGCAGTGCGCGCTGTGCGAGGGGCTGGGAAGGCCGTTGGCACCGCGGGAGCCGCGGCTGAAGCGCAGGCCGCGGTCCCGCTCGTCAAAGTGCTCCAACTCGGAAAAGTCCCCGTTGAAAGACATGTCGGCGCTCAGGTGGTGGGTGTCCTCTAATTATACTTCTTCTTCTTGCTGCTGCTGTTGCTGCTGTTGACGACGATGACGCTGGTGGTCGGCGCTGTTGTGTGCTGAAGCTGCGACGCCGCTTGGCTCGTTGTCTGCCAAACGGTCCCGAGCAGGTGCTGCTGCTTGATACGGAGCGGCGGTGGTGGTCGCGAAGGTGGTGGTTTCAAAAGTGTTGCCTTGTGCAGCGCAGTTGACGTTATCGGCCGATGCGTTCGGATTTCCTTGGCAGGGGGCAATCTTCTCGCTCCTCGTTCGCAGACACCTGAACGCCGCACAGCCGAGACAAGGAGATGGATGGATGAAGGGTGGACGGATTCAAGAGCCGAATGGCTCACAGGGTTATAGCTAATAAATACACTTTGAAACTTTGGATGGATGGATGCAGACGCGAGCATTCTTTGTTGGACGCAACGGGGCTATTGAGAAGCGACTGTCATCGCCGTGACGTAGCTGGTGATGCGATGATGATGAATGCAACTCGCGGTATCGTCGACATCGAATGCCAACGAGGCAACCGTCACGTTTGGTTGTTGGGTTTTAAAAATGGTTAAACACCTTGGTAGCAATATCATCGGGTCATTTATAATCCATACAGTACGCGTATTATGTCATTATCGCTGCATTGCTACGAATTACAAAATAGCTTCACAATTGACGAAAAAAAACATTATCACCTGAAATTACGACAAAACAAGGGCACACACAATCATGACGATTAATATGAATCTATACCGCAGGGGTATCACGAAACCCACAACACCGCGCGGAACACATTTGAGAAATTGGTGCACAACAAATAATTCTACTTGTCAGTGGCCTCAAAAACAGCCTCACCGAGTCTCTTAGACCCCCACCCAGTCCCCTCCGTTTCAGGAGGGTTCTGGCTGGCACGCGATGGCTGGCCAAGCGTTCCTCTTTTCAGTATCGTATCGTAACAGCACCGTGCACTCGTCGCTGTACGGGCGACTGTACGCATCTGAGAGCGTGATGCGCTGTGGTGCGCGATGCGAGGAGCGTCTGGCAAGGATGGGGTGTGGATCTCTGCGGGGGATGGGTGGGATGGGTGGTCTGGGTTTGACGTGGGGTGGGAGGGGGGAGGGAGTTGAGGGCGGGTGCGGGGGATTAAGGCGTTGTGAGCAGGGGAGGGCGGTGGAGGAGGCAAGGGGGGTGCCCAAGAAACACCGATTCGTACATACGGGCGCGCGAACATGCACCGAGATGAACCCACAGACATCTCATGTCAATGCGCGCGTTGCAAAATAAAGAAATATATCGAGCCAAGACGATAAGCGGTAGGGAAAGGCAGCGGCGATGAAACGCGGCGATGCACGCGTGGAGCCATTAGCATTCATAGCAGCAGCAGCAGCAGCAGCTTCTCTCTCGTCCGCGCGAAGCCTTCACGCACGGCGCTCATCTCCAAGATGATGTGGAGCGTGATACCGCGTTGCTGAGTGGTGCGCGAGCACAAAGAACAAAAACGGAACATTATTTAATTAAACTTTATTGGCCGAAATGTCAGTAATTATATATATTGTGTCCTTGTAATACTGTGTTACTGACGAATATGTTGAGCTCGTGTTAGTTGCAGCAGCAGCACTTCCACCAAAACCATACCCGTCTGTTGTGTGCAGATAATTGTCATCCCATTTTTTCTGGCTTTTTACGATTCAAATGGCAGTCTGTGATTTAATATACCGATAAGCGAACGCAATTCCGCCGAATATAAAGCGGAGGGCTAGCGCTTCTGGGTAAGTCAAGCCAGGCAATCGCGGACAATAGTCGCGATGACTCACTGACAGTCGCTGACTGACGCAAGATGAATAGATGATGATGAAGATTTTTTAAATAACCAAGTTGGGATTTTTGTTAAATCGCTGAACAACGCAATCGAATTTTTTTTTTACCCGCAATAAATGCAAAGAGCGAGCCACTTGACCACTGCACGTCTGATAATTTGCGTTTCACGATGGTAATATTCAATTCGGTTGATTGACACGTTGCCGACTGCAGATGGAGAGCGAGCTTGCAATGCAATGACCCATTCGAGGGGGGCGGTGGCGCGTCCGTTGCGTTACCGAGCCGTGAGCGCAACAGAGACTCAGGGGCGCGACTCACATTCAAACAAAGAAACGGACATTAGGTCGCTCAGAGCCTCTCATCCCGACACTCGCTCACACCTTCACTCGTCCGCCCGCCCGCCCGCACTGGGATGCACACAGATTCATTTCAGTCGGATCCGTCGGCGCAAATTATTCGCGTTACCCGGCACACCACGTCCGGTATATCCGCCGCTCCGGCTGACACGGCGACTAAGTCACGTGTCAACCACTAACACCGGTCCACCAGCCACCCGCGAAATATTTGGCGAGACGTTAACCCATCGGGGATGTATCCACAATACCGTATGGAGAATATCACACACACACGTGGACAACGCGGGTGTGTGCGTCTCACCTCGAGGGGCGCGTGGGCTGCTGCTCTCTGCGTGGCTGGGAGCTCTCCCCGCGCGCCGCTCTTCGCAGTGGCTCGGAGTGAGAATGTGCGCGCAGGCGCGCCGAGGATGGGGAGTTTGCGATAGGGGAGGGGAGGTGGGGGGGGAGGCGATCGCCCTCCCATTCTCGGGCTCACTCCCTCCTCTCACTCCCATCCCACCCCCCCAGTCCCTCCATCCCTCCCTTCCTCCTTCCCGCACGCCTGCCCAAGCTTCCCGTGATTCGACGCCGTTCGCCACGGGTGGTGGCTTCCCCCATCCCTACCGCCGAATCTAACATCACCACCACTGCCATCATCATCATCTCCTCCATCACCACCACGCACGGTGCGAAAGAAGTTCAACGTGAATATATACCACCACTATCACCACCATCATTACTCAGCGTCAGCAGTTGCGCGCCTCCCCTTCCTCTCTCCTCCTACGCCTCTTCATCATCATCATTAATATCCATCAACATCACCATTATTATCCATCATCACCCCACAATCCGCACAGCCTCGCGCGAAGCCCAGTCCTTGTCCTCCTCTCACTAGCATCATCGTCGTCACCACCATCACCACTCAACGTACGCAGCCTGCCAGAGGTGTAAACGGTTCATCCACGCGAACGATTCGACGACTTGTCACCTTTCCGGAACCAGGACTCTCACAAACGAGACTCGCCCTGTTCCCTATCGTGGTGGACGAAGCACAAACCGTGGCCGCAACGTTCAGGCGACAACGACAGCGAAGACGAATCGAACCACATCTATTCTGCAGACGCAAGACCCGCTGGTTTAATACACAAATCGTTCGCAACCGCCAACAGATTCTCATAAATCGACTACTGTCGTCACATTGCGGTTATTGCAGCGGTCACTAGCGGCGGCCGGGATCAGGTGAACGCATCACGCATCACGTATACGACTCGAACAAAGAATCAGTTCTTACACAGGCGATTCGACGCACACATGGTGGCCGTTACGAGATGAACGATGCATCGTTACATCCACCCCCTCCTTCCCCTTCTACAATATTCCACGCTTTTTCTCACCCGTCTCTGATGTGAATATCATGTCTCGGATGCTAAGTTATGCGCGGGCACGTGCGTGTGCGCGCGCGCGCTCGTGTGTGTGTGTGTGTGCGCGCGCGCGGATCCGTGCACGCGTGTGCGTGGTGGGGGAGCGGTAACGAAACGGCCGGCGCTACGCTGCGCTACGATCCCGACCCTACCCGAGTTCGATTCGCCGCTCACGGCCAACACCGGTGACGATTAGCTGAACCGGTCCTGGGCCTCCCCTAGGTCGACTCGGCCTTAAGCGGGTACCTGGTGCGGCGCGTTTAAACATCGGCACTGGGGAGACAAAGGCGGCCGGGTGCGGCGTTGCCCCCCCAAACCACCTTGCATGCCGTGCTGACGACCCTTCATGGGCGTTCGCTAACAGCACTTTGCCCCGCGAGTCTTGCGTAGGCTACACGGGGGATCTTTATCTTTGGCGCGCTCTCCACGTGGAGTTGTCCCGGCTCCCGAGATCCGCGAGGCTCGTGCACACACCGGATGCGAATAACGAATCATTAATAATTGTATTAATTACACAACGCCTGCCTGTCCCGAGCTCGCTACCCGAGTTGGTAGCGTCATCGTTGTAATCATCCATCAATGACCGTGGACACATTCATCGCCGACAAGAGCAGCCTGCCGTCACTGTCGTTACCGGGCCATCATTTCTCACGGATTGTATATATCGCTACATCATCACTATCGCCATCACCCAGCGATCTTTATTAGAATCACCACGAGCAGCAGCAGCATCACCGACCACTAATCTTACCGACAGCAGCATTATCATCAGTAGCATCGGCATCTGCATTATTACTCAAAGCCACTACCATTCGCCTAGTAATCAACATCACACTATCACCACCACGTCCGATCTGCACCCCAGATTAGCGCTGTCGGCGACGTAATGTGCGAAAGAAGTTTAACATAAATACATGTCATTATCATCATCTCCACCATTATTAAATCACAATCATCACCACTGTCACCATCTCCACTACGACTACCAAGCCATCACCATTATCACCACAATTACACTATGACCATCGCCTTATCATCGTCAGGGCAAAATTTTAGGCGGAGTTGTCCAGGCCTGAGCTCCGGAAAATATATTCACGACCGGGTAGGAGAGAGTGGGGTGGGTATGGTGGTGGTGGTGAGTTAACCCACGGCCATCATCAAGACACATCGTGCTTGGCTCTCAGAATCATCGTCACCATCATCCTGCACCAGGGGCCGGCTCCCTGCGGTGGAGTCGCGTGCGGTGGCTCTTTAAGGAGCCGCTTCGTGACACTTTGTATTTATTAAAGACCACCACCGTCTCTCGTATTCACCACACGGTGCTTTGCGGCTCTTGTTTAAAAATTGGAACCAAATAACAAAAAATGCTCTTCTTGTTATTTTGGTTGCCAACCAACACCCCCCACCCCGACTGATCTGCACCAACATCCCTGCTAGCAACATCCCCGCTAGCAGCATCCCTGCTAGCAACATCCCTGTTACCACCTCCACCGCAGTCACGACGTAAAGACAGCGACAATTGCCCGCCAATACGCTGCTGTAAAAAAAACCCCTAAAATAACCTTTCCTAGAAGATGCAGAAGATGATGATGATCGCGTGACTCACCCGACACCCCCCCCACCACGCGGAGCAGTGATGTGTGGGTCACGTCAAACGAGACCAGTTCAGGGGCCAATCGGAGCAGAGCGAAATCGTTCCGAGGTTGAAATTCGAGCAATCAGTCGCTCGGCTTCCTCGATATGAGCCCGTCCACGTGCGAGCGCGTGCCAGGTCACGTGGGCATGGTGATACTGGAAGGAACCTCCTGGTTACACCAGCCCACAGGGGATTATTGTGTCCGTCCGTCCGTCGTGCAGGGAGGGGCTGGGTGGGGAGGGAGGGGCTGGGTAGGGAGGGGAGGGTGGGGCTGGGTGGGGAGGGGAGGGTGGGGAGGGGCTGGGTGGGGAGGGGCTGGGTGACGAGAGTGGGGAGGGGCTGGGTGGGGAGGGTGGGGCTGGGTGGGGGGTGGGAGGGGTGGGGCTGGGTGGGGAGGGGCTGAGTGGGGAGGGTGGGGAGGGTGGGGGTGGGAGGGGTGGAGCTGGGTGGGGAGGGGCTGGTCACCCCGTGGTGCCCTTATAAAACTCAACGTTTAACCTACTCACGCCGGCTTGTGCCCGCCCTCACAGTCGGGCATATTTGCGGAATACACCACGCCGCCGTTGACACTGGCCATTGACCGAACAACCCAACGTTCCTACCAGCTCCCTCCGCAGGAGGAATGTGTTTTAAAAGTCCCATCGGCAATGCCGAGGCGCAAATTCGACGTATGGGCATCGCGAGATTGACAATCGCTATTGATCGATGCATTTGTTGCCACTCCACCACGTAATTCGCGTGAATGTATAGCCCTTGGTCAAGCCACTGCTGGATGTTAAGGTCTCCGATGGGGGGGTGGGTTTGACTATAATTTGCCACGAGAGTCGATTAACCTTTTCTATACATGAGACTGATATCGTGTTTTGTTGTACTGTTTGTTGTTGGAACGTTCCGACCTGCATCCTACTGGACATCTGTGAAAAAAAGAGCTTCATAGCTCATCGGATTCCTCCAGTATAAATTCAGATTCGGATGCAGATGAAGGTGCTGGGGGGTGGTGGACCCATGCCCGTGGTCGGGAATCGAACTCACGTATCCGGGTTGGTATGCCAATGTGTTAAATCGTAACCACCGCTCTACTCACAACACCTACGATACATGCAAATTATAGATTTGAAGCTTTCGTGACTGCAAGGATTCATACTCTTAGGTTTTAATACAGTAAAGTCAGCTGTGACGATACCCACCTGATGACGGAGACTTGTGTTGCCTCCGAAACGTCGTGATTTATTATTTTATTTCTATTAGTATTTTTTTTATTTTTATTATTATTTATTTTTTGATGATTTATTTTTACCTACGATACATGCAAACTTATCCAGGGTACGTACACGAGCGTTGGCGTGGTATGCAGGATGTTCGCATTGTGAGAGAGGGGAGTGGTGGCTCAGCGGTTAGCGCACTCTGCTCACGAATCCGGCGACCCGAGATCGATAATCGCTCACGTCTAACATCAGTGGCTAATCGAACCGGTCCCGTGCCCTCCCCCCCTCCCCCCCTCTAGCTCAACTCAGCCTTAAATCAGTACTGTACCCGGTGCGATATGTTAGCATCACCACTGGGAAGACAAAGGCGGCCGGGCTGAGGGCTGCCCACCGATTCCTCTCGTGCGCCGTGCCGGCCTTAATGGGTGCTCGCTAACAGCACTTGCCCCGACAGTTTGGTAGGCCACACGCGGAGGGGGTCCCCTTTGTCTTTGTCTGCATTGTAACAATAGAATTTGGAATTACTGCATTACGTCATCAGCTAGATACGTGCGGTGAATGCACCTCAAGTTTATATAAAAAAAAGAACAGCATCGCAATAGCATAATCATTGTTTACCATTACGAAATGATAACGACGACGTTGATGTCAATCATGTATAATGCCCATCATTGTTGTGGTTATGTAGAGAGAGAGTTATTTCAGAAAAATCGTCTCAGAGACTCAGTGAGGCGGCTTTCCTCGGCACGTTACCTCCGGAGGAGCGGTGGCGCAGTGGTGACCGCGCTGCGCTATAAACCCCCCTTACCCCGGTTCGATTCCTGGCCACGGCTACGAACGCCACTCGGCGAGCGACATCGAAACCGGTCGTCTGACAAACCCACCCCCTTCAGAACCAACCCGCACTGACCATCGTGGTGAAATATGGTCACTCCCTCTCGCACCCCCACCCCCACCTACCATGAACGACCTAAAGCGCGTTGGGGGCAGGGAGACACCCATCGAGCAGTAGATTGATTGACAGAAATGCCGTGCGTGTAGTCGACGCGTTAAATGTTACAACGAGATTGCAGATTTTTGTCGTGTCCCCCAAGTTGGCTCAACGGACGTTGAGAAAAAAAGAAACATCCTCCCGCCCTCGAGTATTCACCGAGCTCCGCCTGGTGGCTGCTGCTGGAAGGATCAGCGGACATCCCACGGACACCTTAGATTA